TCTCCCAGCTGTTGCATGCAGAGCATTAACCTGGTAACAAGACAAGATGAAGTTTTCACAATTCAAGTTTTCGCCTTGAATCCTTTTGCCTTGTCCCCCCGGAGCTCTATCTTTTCCTATCCCCTGTCAATTCCATCCATATGTTCTTCCCTAAACCTCACTGTGGCTGCCTCTCTGGTCCTGCTGACGGCATACATCTTATCTATGTAGGTCTGTAGTCCTCACCTCCATCCCAGTAACTCTTCCATGGGGTTTCCTGAACTCGTGTGTTGATGTCTGACCTGACCCTTTCTTTTGCTTCTGACTCTGCTGTTTCACTTTCTCATTTCGTAGGTGTGGAAAGTGGCTAAACCTTACATTGAAAAGTACAGGAGGGAACACATCCCTGAATCGAGACCCATTTCACCAACAGCCTTCTCCCTGGGATCGCTGGAAGTGAATACGGGTGTTGGTCATGACCATGGGCAGCAGGATGAACTTTAGAGCTGTGGTCCTCTGTTCCAGAGCAGATCCTTTCCAGGACCTTGCCTAAGGGTGGCTGTTCTACTAGAAATCAACACGGTTTCTCCAAGTGACCCAAAGGACCTGACTGTCTATCTCAGGAGCACCCACAGATAGTAGAGGAGTGGCTCACTGCTTTCCTCACACGTGAAAGACAACTTTGTCATGATAGTCTGGTTTTGGCTGAAATTTCCTGAGCTTCCCAACACAAAACATTCAGAGTCCTGCTGAAACCAGTGGATGTTTTATATGGAGCCTCCTGTATTCGTTTTGTTGGCTCTTCACTTGTTTTCATCTGTGCCAATGATTCTGAACAGCTTAGGTTTGATATTCTCCCCCCCCTTTTCTTTTTTTTTTGCTTTGGGTAACTGCTGTGGTCCCCTTCATTCTGCCACAAGCAAAATTATCTTTACATTTAATTTTTCTCTCCTTCACAGATCATATGTGAGGCACGGGTTCTTGTATAACAAGAGCATTCTTAGAGCAGGTGCTTCACAAATCTGAAAATCCGTGTGCATAAAAATGTGCTATGGAGATCATTGCTCCAGAACAAATATATTGTATTCTGGTGATGGACTACACTTAATGCAGCTTTCTAAGAGCTCTGGGCAATAAATAAACTGAGGCTTCACATACAGCTGTAGCAATCTCATTTCCTGTCATGTGTGATGATGAAAAATAAAGCCAAAAGCTTAGTTTAGAAATAAGGACAGGCAGGGGCCAGGAAAGGGGGAGGGGAGGAGGAGGAGGAGGAGGTGTAGGAGTGGTAGATATGAACCAGTGCAAGATTTGCACTCCCATGGCTTACCAGGCACCTGCCTGGCTGCCGAGGGCCCCATCCCCCTGGAGCGACTTGCATCATAGCGTGCTCCATGTTACCATGCTGAGCGCTGGCACAGGCTTTATCTTGCAAGAGAAGAGTCAGGACTTAAGACTTCACATCATGGTGCGGTGATGATGTGTAAAGGCTGGTTAACAACCACCAGCCTTGGCACTGGTGGCCTGGTACCTACAGCTGCAGGGGGTTTGGCCTGGGTTGGAAAACTTCCCGGGCTATCGGCTGTGCTGCAAGGGGCGGCATGGGGCTACCCTTGCTGGGTGTCTGAGACCTCCTGTGTTAAATGTGCCCTGAGGAGAGGACTCATCCCTGTCAGCAAGCTGGCAGGGAGATACCGAACCTGGCCAGAAGGCCTGGGAACCAGGGTACCCGCCCACAGAATGTGAGCTCCCAGTTCAGCTCCTTCCTTCTGCACGTAATTTGCAGCACCTCCAGCCTCCATCTCTCCCTCATGTGCCAAGTAAGTCCCTACCTTCTCAGCTCTCCCCTCTCTGTAGCAGGAGTATCAAAATCTCCCCCTGAAGCTGTTCCATTTTGTATAAAATCAGGTATTAATTAAAATCAAGTGTGAGAATGAACAGCCAGGCTTATATCTTGTAGGGTCAACCATTTTCCTTCAGCCTCATGCTATGGCTAAACAATACGGTTCCTTCAGCAGCAAACCTGGCCAGAGTTCCTACCCACCACGCTCTTACCTACGTCCTGCTCCCAGCTGCTGCAGGAGCCAGCACAGTGAACATCACTGCTGGAATGAGCCACGTTAAAAAAGAAGTAAACAAAATCTTCTACGTTTCAGTGTGGTGTGCCTTCCCTGGCAAGGATCACATAGCTGGCCATCAGGAACCACTTAAACTAGCTGTGCTGCTGAATTATAACCACATCCTCTAACTGCAAACCTGCCACTAATTATAGCCCCGGGGCATACTCCCAAATGGCTACTGGATTCAGCTGAGCTGGCAAGCACGTGGTTCTACATTCCTGTCAGAGCTCATTCGTGGGAGCAGAATCCCCTCACATCAGTAGTTTCAGGCTATGAATGCCTATTCCTGTCCAGCAAGAGAATATTTGAGGTTTTCCTTATGCAACCGTGGACTCTCAAATGCCTTAGGCACTTCAGAGGGCGGGTGCTGGGCATTGCTTCCCACTCACCTCTGCTTTTGGCTGCCTGGGACCAAGGGACCGCCAGCACACGGGGCAGCACGGTGGCCTCAGCTTAGCACCACACCTACGCTGAGCCGAGAGGCACCGCCCTGGCCACACAGTGCATTTCAGAAACGCCTGCGCTTATACCCCGACACCTTTCCCCAATGGCCTGCATAAACACTATTTATGAGTGCTGTCTTGGGCAGAATGGACAGCGCGATTGCATACTTCAGATGTTCTTCCAAGCTCTATAAAAGCAAAGGTCCACACCCACATCTGCTGCAACATCTGCTTGCAGGAGAACATGTCTAGTGGCAG